TAGATTCTCATCAATGATAGTGAGCAGCATAAAAAAAGAGCAGAGCCTCACAGAAGAGTTGGCCGTGTGCCTGAGGAATCGAACCATCTTGGTGTCAGATGTGGGGCAGACAAGGGCCATGTAGCGGTTTCTGAAGGTGCCGTAGATCTTCAGGTGAAAGCCGGGTTTGGTGGTTGGGTTTCGGTGCTCTCGGAGGGCCTCCACGCCGTAGGCTGACAGGTCGAAGTAGAGACTGTGGGCACGGATCTCTGGAGTGGGTACCTGAGGTAATGAGATAGGGCAGAAGGACAGCGGAGACACTAGAGTAAACTAGAATGGCACTCAGAGCAGATACATACATATATATCAGATACTTAAAAATGCCGGATTTTCTTTTCACCAGGACCCATGAATTAACCCATGAATTATTCTTTGGGAAAACTGTTAAAATGTTGAAAAACATCATGAGACTCTCACAATGTTAAGGAAAAAGGAAAAAATTCAATGGCTTCTTCCCTGACACAAACTGCATCCTGTCCACAGGTTTCGTGGGAATCCATCGTTTTGTATTTGTGTAATCTTGCTTCCAAACCAACAAACAAACAGACAGGGGGGGAGTAACATTGTGGTAAAAATATTCAGGGACTATCAGTGATGATATCATCATTTAGACATGAGCAATATATCTTCTCAGTAGGTCTACTTCATAACATACATGCACCTTATGATGTGTATGTGGTAAAAACACATTGAACATTACCTACAGACCATTCCTGCCTGTGGGGCTGTTGTCACTTGAGTGGAGATTAAGAATGGCTTGTTTTTCATTCAGTGGCTCAATCTGGCATCGACTCCCCCGTTTCCCCTCAAGCCAGATTTGATCAATTTTCTTTTTGATGACACAAACCAGCCACGTGAGATGAAACAGTGTTTAGTGCAGCCGAGGGAGACGAGCGAGGGAACACAGCGCAGACTGGGATGGAAGGGACAGCAGGGCTGACCAGATCATATCCTGAGGGATAAATTCAATCACTACAGGAAACAGTCGCAGAGACAGGGGGCCAATAAAAGGCAGCAACAGAGGCACAGAGGAGAATGTGATATCAATGGTTATGGGGCATAAAATAGCAAGGGAGACGATATCTGTGTTTGGTATTAGTTAGATATTAGCCTGGGGATTTTTCACCTCAACACGATTATTTCTCCAAATGAATCTTCCCTGTCGGACAGATTATCACTGTATATAATCCTAAAACCAACCTGTCATCAACACAAGTCATTCTATACAGACGGTTAATGATGAGGAGCAGACCACTGCTGTAAATATCATTTGTCTCCACTTCAGCAGGAGTGTGATATTTTGTACGTCTGTCTTCTGAGTCTTCTGAACGCCTCTGCCAGTAAATGGTGACCAGAGGCTGTCTGTCTGTTAATAACCTCTATAAACAGATCGTGCATGTGAATGTGCAGAATCTGTGGGTGAGGACAAGATTCTGGTTTTCATCTCTAGTTTGACCAGTCACGTTTGAGCAGGCTTCGATTGCCCGCAGGGAAACAGTCCACGTGGAGAGCAGAATAGGTGTCTGCATTCATATGCAGACAGCTGTTGATAGAGATTAGTCAAAATGTGTCCTGGACCCAGAACACCAACAAAAAAAGTAATGCTGTTTGTGTTTTGTGTGGAGAAACATTCGACTCATGTGGTAAAAGAAACTAGCCGGACCGTAAATATGTACAGAGTCTCAGATATCTGCTGTCTACACAGGAAGCCCCAAAATATTGGCCATTGCCCCCCATGGGCTGATATAATATTACACAGTCAAAGAAAGAATTCATTAAATTATTTCAGGGGCAGTTTTAGAGGCGATTACTCTTTGGAGATGTCTCTTATTTATCTACTCAGTCTTTTATGGATCTTCCAGTGACACTGAGTCATCATTCACGGAACCATCTGCCTATATAATAACAAATGACCTTTGATGCACCATGTGAAAAACACTGCAGCTGATGTGTTGATATCTTCATTCGTATTCACACCAGGGAACAGATTATGAGTCTGAGCAGGGGAGGCGTAATGAATCCAGAGCTTTATCATGGTCATCGTCTGCCTCCATCCACTGCTCTTACCAGATTCAATGAGTAAATCAAAATATTGCCAGGGTTGACAGTGACAAGTCCAAACAGCCTGCCAGCTGAAATCTGGCTGTTTATATGAGAAACCAGATATTGTGCTCAGTTGCTGTTGGCAGGTCCACATCTCTGTTTGCTCTGATCAGCTTCATGAGGCCGAATAAAGTCACCTTCAAAGCAATATCCTGTTTCTACTCTCTTCATTCCTTCCAACAGCAAACATTGGATTATTGCCTCAGTGTATGCACAAGAGTGAATGCATCTGTTAGTGTATGTCCATGTGTGAGTGTGTATGCATGTGTGTGTGTGTGCACGTGCAATGACCTGTCTTTGGTCTAGTCTCTCTATTGCTGCATTAGCTCCATAGGCATGGCAGGAATCCACAGTGTAGTCAGAGCTGATGCCCAGCACCGAACACGAGTCACCGCACGACCCATCAGCCACCACGATCACACTCGGCCAGTCAGTCTGAGTGATGCGGCGCAGGTATTCCTCAGTGAACTGAAACAACAAGAAGAAAACAAAAAAAAAAAA